AAGGGATATAATAACTTATAAGTCGAAAACAAACTTCATGGCATGTCACTCAATAACCCACATTTAGGTGAGTGTTTGCATCTCATATATCTTAGCTGTGAACTTGACTCTATCAGCAGGAATGTGCTGTCTACAGAAAGTGGTACGGTATATCTGTGTCCAAACTCACAAGCAGTCTTAGATCTTTAGATAACAGAATAAACGTTTAATCTGTAATTGACTGATTGTGTCCTATTCCCAATTGTTACATTTTGACTAAGTGGGGACTCGCAAAGTGGGTGACACATGTATTACAGTAGACACTCACCATGTCGACGCACTCAGTCTATTTCCTTTTGTAGGTTATGCGATTCCCTTATAAGCTATTAATCAAATTCAAGAATTTTCAAGTTATTTTTCGACGTTATAATTGTAAACATAGGGTATTCTTCTTTATAAAGTAATACATATATTGCCGTGGAAAAATATTTTGTGACCACATATATCTAGTATAACGGTTAAATACTACCAGTAAGGACCATAAACATAAAGCCTTGGACACAATCTACAGTTTCTACACTGTAAAAGCGATTTATTTGTAAGGAGGACGGGTCAGTGTCCCATGAATGCATATACGTCATATTGTAGCCATTTTGAAACTGTCTTCAATATAGAATTGAATGCTGTTTTTGAAAACGTATTGGAAATGAAAGCAGGTGACCTTCACTGCTGGATCCCATTTTGCATGAAGGATGGAATCACCTCTTACAAAACAGGAGATCGTCACTTGCTTTCTTCTTTCTATTGAGAAAAAAACAGTATTATTGTATTTAAAATGAATTATGCGTCATATAGTTTGAATTTGCATAATGAAGATGTCGATTTTTTTAGTAGATTGCTTGAGTTTTGTAAAACTGATCTGTTTGTACGAAGAACACGAATAATTTCTATTAAGGATTTGTATGAGTTGACCACCTACTGTTAATATGTCTGAATAAAGTTAAAAAATTTCATAACTTAATTTGTGTAAATTGAGATTCTAACAATATATAATGACTTTTTTCTCAGCATATTACTAAATATACATGGATACAATTTAGAAAACCCTGGCCGTGTTAGGCGCAACTTTTTGGAAGTTTTGATCATCGGTGCTCTTCAGCTTTGTACTTGTTTTGGCTTTCAAACTTTTTTCATCTGAGCGTCACTTGTTGGTCTTGTGTGGACGAGACGCACGTCTGGCGTATTGGATTTTAAGCCTAGTACCTTTTGTTAGCTATGATTCGTGTGTTTCTTTGTCCTATATGTTCTCCCATTTATTTGTATTGTGGTCCTGTCATGTGATGTCGTCGTTTTGGTGTTGTGTTTGACGTTGCCATAAAAGCGGGAGGTTTGGCATGCCACAAAACCAGGTTCAACCCACCCTTTTTTTCTTAAAATGTCCTGTACCAAGTCAGGAAAATGGCCATTGTTATATTATAGTTCGTTTCTGTGTGTGTTACATTTTAATGTTGTGTTTTTGTTGTGTGTCGTTGTTCTCCTCTTATATTTGATGCGTTTCTCTCAGTTTTAGTTTGTAACCCGGATTTGTTTTTATCTCTATTGATTTATGAGTTGCGAACAGCGGTATACTACTGTTGCCTTTATTTGGCCCTTAATGCTCTTCAATTTCGTACTACATTTTGGCCTTTTAACTTTTAGGATTCGAGCTTCACTGATGAGTCGTATCTTTTCTTAAAATGTCCTGTACCAAGTCAGGAATATGGCAATTGTTATCAAATAGTCCGTTTCTATGTATGTTGGCGTTTGATTTTGTTGCAGTTCAGTGTTTCTTTTGTTGCGTTGTTTTCCTTTTATAGTAGATGTGTTTCCCTCGGTTTTAGTTTGTAACACGGATTTGTTTTCGCTTAATCGATTAATGACTATTGAACAGAGGTATACTACTGTTGACTTTATCTATGTAGACTAAACGCGAGTCTGGCTTACACAATGATAAGCCTGGTATCTTTTTTAAGGTATACATAAATTCAGTGAATGAAAGTAACAGATTCGTGCGTCCGAGCGCTTTTCTAGATTTACCTTCATCAGGAATGGTCAAACCCAAACACTGTGAAGCCAAGGATGTATAGGACATAAACATGCGAAGAGCTATATGACCAAAAGGACCTTAAAATACCAGATTAATCTTAGGTTAAAATTTCCTTAAATGCAAACTCCATAAAACATTTAAACTTGAAATAGAACATCAAAATTGTCTTAAACAAAATGTAGCCCTGACAAATTTTGATTTAATGAAAATATGCTTTTAAATCTTTAAAGCCATTAAAGGCCCCGACATAACAACATGTGAAAACCAACGGCCTGATTTACGCACAAAAGAATAAACGAAAAACAAATATGACATACAGTTACAAACAACAACCGCCGAATAACAGTGTTCTCCCTTGGAACAGGCACATGCCGAATGTGGCGGGGTAAAATGTGCCTGAGGGCGCCACACTCAACTTAACAGGAGACAGTGGTGTAACAGTAAAACATTAAAACAACCTATAAAAATCAGTTGAGAAGGCTTAAACTATTAATTTGTGACGGTTGATTTTACCTGGTCTACTTTAGAAAAAAAGATGTAATACCAAATTGTAATACTATTAGTAAATATGATATCAATTTAAGTGGTTTTGATCACGTACACTCTAGAGAAAAGTTTGGAAACTGAATTATGTACAAAGGAAAATGATTTACAACGACACATTATTCTGTAACATCTTTACCATAGGATTCATTCTCGACTTAGATACATAACAGTTTTAAGGTGTATATGCATTGTGTTCATTTTACAACTATATTTTATGTTTGACATACTATTATAAACAAACAGATGTGGTATGTGCACTTTAATGAATAAATCTCCCAAACGAAAATTGGCAACCTTACGTGCACCTAATTCTAACAATCCACAAATTTGATGTACTTTTTTTTTGCAGTATGTAAGTCTTATACGTATCAAGTATTTAGTTTGTTCATGGCGATACTTTGATGATATTTAAGAAGGGTTGGTATAGAAAAAAAACTTAATGCGTATCTTTTTTATAATATTGTAATGTTCACAGCATACGAATTTATGGATACCAGTAAAAGGAGGAAGCATGCTAAGAGCCATTATTTGGGCCATGAAATTGACAAAATGATAAACGTATTTAAACTTTTCATGATTATGTTAATTCAATTGATAAATGAATCATTTATTTTAATCTGAAACTTTTGTGCAGAACAGTTACTTGTGACGTCATAAAAATGTCAAAGATTACATATCTGACCTAAAATTGCCATTTCACGCATAGTTTCTAGTCAAAATATAAATGAGCAGAAGCTTTACACACCAAGATATTTTACACACATTACCATTATTATAAAGTACATTTTGTAGCAAAACATCTTTTTGGGTTAGCTATTTCTCATAATTAGATATTAGTGACAAGATCTCGAAATGAGGTTATTTGGCTGTGTGTTATGTTTTCTACTAAATGCAAAAAGTCCCTAATTCATGGGACCAAAACAGTGACCTTAATCTCTTCTCTTTTATTAGAGAGAACAAATCATTTTTTGGGTTCTAAATAGAAATTCGTGCTTTTGTTGCTCAAAATTGTTTGAAATAGAGGAAAAAGATACCATGGGAATATTCAAACTCATAAGTAAAAACGAACTGACAATGCCATGGTATTAATACGAAAAACCAACAAAACAAACACAATAGTATACAAAACACAACATAGATAACTAAAGACTGAGCAACACAAACCCTACCAAAACATCGGGGGAGATCTCAAGTAATCTTAAAGGAAATAAATGTCCTTCTTCACATGTGGTACTCGTCGTGTTGCTCATCTAAGTACAAACCCTGTGATACGTCTATTTCGAAAGGTCACATTTTGGGGAAAAGTGGACGGGATTGTGGTTACGACATATCCGTCGTTGTCTGTAAAACAGATATTTCATAACAGTCAACAAACCCATGATGGCGTCTGTAACAATTTTTCGAACGAATGTTTTCAACTTTACCACTGTGAACTCATGGTTTAATAGATGACTTGTGAACAGCAACCCTCTATCAAGGAAATCATGATAGAAATTGCCTGGAATATCAACTGGGAGATCTAAACTCCTTATGCTGGCGCTGCTGACATGTTGTAGATTAATTAGTTTTACATAAATAATTGATTTTTCAGCAGTATTAATTGGCAGATACCTAGTGACAAGGCGCGTTATTTGGCGTCAAGAGATCCCCTACTTTTTATTTGATGGCGTCCTAAAAGAACATTTGGTGTGAACTGTTTATAATAGTTCATTGCTTACAGCAATACGAATTGATGAATAACCGTGAATGTATGGGATTTATTATACGTCCTCCATATTTATTTTGAAATGGGGTATCCAAAGGAAAATTAATACATTATAGAGGCCAAAAAAGATGTTAATAACATTATTATTACATTTTCAGCATTTATTGAAAAAAAACACACTGTGATAGAAGTATGTATATCAAACACGAGCGTTACATCATAAATAAGATATACACATGCATTATGATGGTGTTGAGGTTATGTTACTGAAGATAAATCAGACTTTGAATAGACATAAGAGTACACGTTGCAACATTTGACTGTTCTGCATCCGGCACGTAAGGTATTATGTAATCGTAAATGCTGCCGGCTCCTGTCTTACACACAAATGAAAAACACTTTGATTCATCAAAGGCTATATTAATGACACAGTGAATCTATTTTTGTTTAAACTGATAATGATGTAAATAATGTAACCTGTCACTTAAAGTCTTGTAAAAAGAATATATAGATAGCTTATTAAACAAAAACTCTAATTTCCTAATAATGGATTCATGTAATGAACAAAAACAAACAAATATTTGTCAGACCACATTAATATAATCATTTCAATGAAAACAATTGATGTATGTGGCCCCTTGGTAAGTATCGTATTGTAAAATAACAGTTAAACGTTAGAACAGAGAAGGCGACGATGACAGGTTGGCGTGATTTCCTTCTCCTGTGCTTTTTGTTTAATCCGACATGGACTCGTATGTATATATGTTTTTTCTTCTTTGTATTTTCTGAATGGTCATTTTATTTGCAGACATACCGAGTAAAACTTAAACATACTAAAAATTATTTATTTATTTATCATTTCTTGGTATTTTTTATGATTTTGATTTGTGTTTTTTTTATAATAAAAATATTTTAATGACATTTGTCAATCCATAATAGTATGCATATTGCTTTTTTTAAAAACTGGATTCATTATCATCTGTTGGGTACCAATGATCGTAAAATTGCGTTGGCAAAAATGAACAATGATTCTAAACATTAAAAGAAGTACACAAATTTTCAATAAGTTTGAATTCAGCCTTATCAACGTTATCAAATATGAACGGAAATACAATTTTTCTATAATCCACAAAAAGTGGCACCGATGAAAAAAAGAAGAATCCACAGTACTGGAGAAATACATTCTTCTAATTTGTATAGGTTTCGTACTTGATCCCAATGCTAGAGGTTTCGTAGTTGATCCCAATGCTAGAGGTTTCATAGTTGATCCTAGTGCTAGGAGAGGAGTACAGAGCGATGTGTACATTGTCAGCAATAGGGCCAATATTAGAATTCACCATGATGGAGATAGATACAAAGTCAGGAGAAGAATAACACCAGGTACTCTATATACAACAACAATGAAGCGTGCTGCATATTCATGTAAACTGTTTTCGCTTCCAGAGCATCACTGCAAATATGTTATCTAATTTTTTTTACTGTTTTGTGTATAATTCCCATCATTATTTTCCTATTTACCATTGTTTTTTTTTGTATTTATCTTTGCATATATGATTTCCGATTAGCAGATTTAGAAATTTAAAACATGGTCATTATTATTGATCATATTCTGATTGGATTATACTTTTCCATGGGATTTATCAAAAATGTTCATAATATAAAACTGATCCAACACCATGTTATGGAGAATAGATTATTGAAGACACCTTTTCAATTCATAGGGATAACATTAGACCATTGAAAAGATTTTTTTTTTCATTAAGATAAAAAGTTTATATGAAGATTCAAAATGGAAGAAAAGAAAAATAGAACAGAAGACAAGTTAAAATATATTCATGCAACTGTCCAAATTAGGAAAAGCATACCAAAACAAATCAAAAACGCACTATAAACTTGTGATGAATGAAGTTGATCATTTAGAAAAGAGTTGCTGTCTAAAATATAAATGATACAATGAAAGGGATAAAACCTTTTCATGAATATGTTCTTCGATAGCTTTATTTTGTTTTGGTAAGGGATGTTTGGTTTTCCTATGCCCATTGATTTCATTGATTCATTTTATTTAAATTAATTATTTTGATTTTTCTAGATGGGATAAGACCTTCTCTCTCTGCAGCAGGAAAAACAGATGTCAAGAAAGTGTCACTCTCAGGAGATGGAGGGGTCAGTTCCTATAACCAACGAACGGTAAATGGTAGGAATGGGAACGAACAGTCCATTACAAATGACAAAAACATTGATGTTCGAATCGTTTCAAATGACGACTTCATCAAGAGGAAAAGTAAAACAAATGGCAGAAGTGACATTGATCAGCCTGTAGTAAATGATGTTAATGTTAGTGACCAACAAACGACACATATTAGAAGTACTGTTGACCAGTCAGGTTCAAATATTGAAGTTGTCAACGACCAAACAGCGACAGATGGTGAAAGTAACGTAGTTCAGTCTGCTCCTAAAAATGGTATTGTTAACGGCCACCAGGCGACAAATATCAATGATATTGTCAGTCAGTCTACGTTTGATGGCAGCACTGGCAACGACCAGTCAATTTCAAATGGTGGAACGGATGATGGACTTCAAACTATGAATAAACCACTAGGTAAGAGTATTGTATTTGAAAACTTCATGTTGTATGTCCTATAGCACTGAAATCGTAAATCACAAAAAACCCAGGGACAAAATAAGACAACGTTAATTAAAATTGCGACACACACAATATTCACTTCAACAAGTGATGTGAAAACATAAAATTAACAACAGATCTAAACAGTATAGCAATCCCTGCTTTTTAAAAATAAATAAAAATAATTTACATTAAACTTGTCTGTCTTGAAAATATCTATTCGTACTGCAAAATTTGTAAGCAATGGTCTAAACTAAGTGTAACATAACAATTTGATTTGGCATAACTGCTACTGGTACATATACATATTATTCATACTGGTATAACCTATGCAAAATCAACAGTTGTGACACGTTTTTAATTCCTTCTGTGGTATAATTTTATTTTGGTAAAAACTTAAATATTGAAAATGTCATTTAGTCAACATCATTGACGGGGTATAATTGTTTAACAATAGTCCAAAGTACATCTTGTTGTTGGTAAATTATTGTGGTAAATCGTGTACTATTGTGGTTACCACGATATCCTGGTGCATAATTTACAACTATTAAAACCGAAACGCATTAACATATACAAAAATGAAATATTGGTGAATATTTTACAAGTTGTCGTGACTAGCGTTATGATAGACACTTTTTACAATGCGGAAGCAATATGCTCTGCTTATCCATTTACCGTAAAAACTACCTGTGTTTACTTTTTATGAAAGATTGTACTTCTTTTAAGACAGACAAGGTATGAAGTATTGAATAACTTGTCATCATTACTTGTTATGTCAAAATAAACGTCAATTTATTTGGCAGGTGTCTTAAAATCGTTCATTTACGATTTTGATATTAGAATTTAAATATGTTTTCAAGATGTAAAGTAACCACAAAAGAGACAGCTATCGTTCAAATATTAATCAAAATTAGATGTTTGATTAATTTCAATGATGTATGTATACAATAATATAGAAAAGACCTCTACAGGGCAGCACTTAAATAATTGATGCAATCGAAATCCCCACCTATCGCATTGCCCGGGGTGCATGTTACACTACTGTCCCAGGTTAAAAAGGGGGGTGGCGCCTTCAAACTAGTTGAACCCCGCCACATTCTGTATGTGCATGTCCCAAGTCAGTAGCCAGCAGCTTGTAATTTAGTGGTTGTCGTTTGTTGCTGAATATATTTGTTTTTCATTCATTATTTTGTACATAAATCAGGCCGTTAATTTTCTAGTTTGAGTTGTTTTATATATGTCATTTCGGGGCCTTTTATAGCTGACTATGCGGTATGGGTTTTGCTCATTGTTGAAGGTCGTACGGTGACCTATTGTTTGGTACTTTCTATATCATTTGGTCACTCTTGGAGAGTTGTCAATTGGCAATTGGCAAGCATACCATATCTTCTTATTTTTATATTTGTTATTGAAACATATAAAATGTATAACCATACAAAAAATTAAAATGTACAAAAACAGTTAGAAAACATAGTGTATAGATATAAAAATTTAAAAAACAGAACTGATTTATATCAAACATTTTTAAAATTATTCGTTAATAAATTTGAAATAAAGAAACTATGGTTTCAATTCCATCAGGGAAAGTCGACCTTAGACGGATTTTGCTATTTTTATGTCTTTTTTGTCATTTAGCTCTTCAACTGTTTCGGTTCCTATACATCCTTGGCTTTTAGATATTCGATTTTAAGCGTTCTTGGTGAAGGTCAATTTTATCATCGGTACAAAGACATCATTAGTAAATATAATTCAACGTGCAGACATCTTACCCGTTCAAGAATTTCACATCCAATCGTTTATGGTAAAATTCTAAACAAAGCCAAAAAAATGTCGTCATCACCTCAAAAGCTAATCAAACCTTTAAATAGGTTTTTTAAGAAGGAATAGTAATATAGCTACGATACTATTGTCAAGTCATTCAAAATTGCATTTTTGGGAATTAATATTGATTCACTCATAGGGTCTTTGCATCGGAAATAAACACATTTATTCTTAATCCAGTTGTTGGCATGATACGGGTTATGTTCTTCTCGTATAATTTTTGATGGCATGATATTAAACACCTAACGGGAGGGATTGTGCTTGATTTTCATATGATGAAGACATAATCTTGCGATCAATTTAATTGAGGTTTGGAGCTGGCATGTCAGTACCTGCTAGTAATCCTTTGTTAATTTATGATGATCATTGTCATATTGCTTAGTTTCTTCTGTTTCCTTTTCTAACATCGGACTCGGGCTTCTTTTAAACTGAGTTTTACTGTGCGTATTGCTGGTCATTAAATTACAAAATCTATTTTACTTCCATTAAAGAGATCATAAATGGTATGCCATGATCTAGCCAAATAAGAAACAAAAAAGAATATAGTGTGGATAATTTTCTTCTTGATTACAAAAATTACACTTTTCATTATAAGTTATTTTCAAATGTAAAATAAGCTTGTCTTTGGAATAATGTATTGTTATAATTTCAATCTAAATACGTTTGTTTACTTTCAGTCAGATATTCAAAAACAAATTTGTACAATTAAATGATATCTAGAGTTTCTTGTATTTCTAGTATTCTAAGCCATATGTGTATCCCTATTGATGGTTCAACTTTTTAACTAGTTGAAGAGTTATATAACATTTGTTTTAAAAAAAAAATGAATGGGTCAGTATAATGATTGTTCCATATAATCTTATTTCTTAGAACATTAACTTTACTTATAACAGAATTTTCTTTTTTGAACAGCTTGGATCAATGCCTTTGGGATAAATGTTTTTAAATTACAAAATTCTGTGATCCAGTATATTTTACACTTCAATTTGTTTAGAATGAAGATTTCTGATGATGACATTGTGTCATCGAAAATATCATTTATGTTAATGTGATCACTCTCAATCCAGTCTTCGAAGATAATTGGATATTTTATCAATATACGTCTTCAAATTATTTGTTTTATAAAAACAAATGTATCTGGTTGCTTTGTTAATCCCCGCAATCAAATTCCAGGACTATAAAAGTGCGAGGTTTGGCAGCCACAAAACCAGGTTCAACCCACCATTTTTTCTTAAAATGTCCTGTACCAAGTCAGAAAAATGGCCATTGTTATATTATAGTTCGTTTCTTTGTGTGTTGCATTTTAGTGTTGAGTTTCTGTTGTGTCGTTGTTCTCCTCTTATATTTGATGTGTTTCCCTCAGTTTTAGTTTGTAACCCGGATTTGTTTTTTTTCTCAATCGATTTATGAATTTCGAATAGCGGTATACTACCGTTGCCTTTATTTATTACGTCTTCATAAAAATCAGGAACACCTAAAATACTTTAAGATTTAATATCGCTCAAATGCATTTTAAGTATTGACAGAAATTCGTCCGAGACATTTAAATACTTAATTGTTAAAAGCTTTGCAAGTTTACCATTTATTTATCTTTTTACCGACGATGATTTTAAAGCCACAGAATAACTTTTAATGTCTCCAACACTTTTCGTACGGACATGCCATCAAGTTTCATTTAACTTTGTCTGGTTTCCAATCCCAAATATATTATAAGCTTCTGGTTTCTATTTCTGTTTAGATAATTTTCTGAAATTAGACAGACGCTTCCCAGGAATTTAAATAAAGGCAAGATTGAAATCTTTTTTTTTAATGTGAAGTTTTCCTAAGATAAACAGATTTTTTTTTCTATTTTATAAATCATTCAGTCATGTGTTCTATTTTACTATCTAAATTTCATTTTTGCATTTCTCCTTATCATGTCAGAAAAACACCCCTAGAACTATTATATGTTTATCTCCCTAAGTAGTTCCGACGATGTTATGTTAACACGATTTAAATATCCCTATCCATTAGCCAACTGCTTTATTTCTATTCAATAATAGACCTGAAAAAGTGTAAAAAAATTTCTATTTCGTTCATTGCAATTACCGCACAATATTTATCCTTTCAAAAACATGTTTTGTCTTTAGCTAATTGTGAAATCTTAAAGCTATAATTTCTTCAATCTAGTTTTGCAGTCATTCTTTTTACATCTTCATTATTTTTTAATCTTTGAGCCGTAATTTCAACAGCAATAAAAAAAACCCTTGTGTTATTCAACGTGAATAATTAAAAGTTTCTGTTACCAACACATTTTTCGTAACACATGTTTGTTTATCTGTGTACATAATTTAAACCCAGTTTTTATGATTCGTTCAAACCAAAATGTTTCAAAGCTCAAAACATAAAATCGCATTCAAATCATTTGAATACTATTGTACAATCTACAAAACCTATTACACATTAAATTGTATTTGTCCTGCGTAGTCTATAACATCTCAAATTTATTTCAGATTAAACCAAATAAATCTATTTTAACATTACAGGTCTGATCTTCATTGATAAAGTTTGAAAGTGTCTTTATTTTTTAAGAACATATGACAAAAGTTTAAAATCTTTATTTAGAAGTGACACTGGACGATGGTTTTCTAGAAGTACAGGATTCCCGTTCTAAATAGCAAAGTTAATATACTGGTACGTTATAAATATGATGAAAAGTGTCTATCGTAGCCGGTATAATTTAAGTTTATCCTAAAATTGCATATCAAATTCCACCGTCAAGCCATCACGCTCTGGAGATTTATTTAATTTTATTTTGACAAAATGCCTTGTGTGCATTCCTCAACTGTAATTTTCCAATCACATATCAGTTTATCCTCTCGTCCACCTTATTTCTTTTTAGCTTTTTGTCATTGATATATATTTCGGTTTACATTATACAAGTGTTCATAGAAATATTTCTATTTTATAAAGTAGATTTTTCTCGATCAAATATTAATTCCTCATTATCTCTTATAATTGTACCAATATAATTTTGCACTCTCCTCTTCTTTTCTAGTCAAAGGAAATAGAAATTGTTCTTTTCCCCAAACTCAACCCATTTTTTTCTCTAGAACTTATTTGTGCCCCTTTGGCCTTTTCATCATGAATCTTATCTAAATCTTTTTCTTATAACT